TACAGCTGCGCATCACAGGAATAAATTACAGTTTAACAGAGATTCACATAGAAAGCAGTTATTTCAAATAGTAAAAATATTTCACAATATTACTGCTTCGCTGTATTTTGGATCAAATAAATGCAGGCTTGGTGAGCAGAAGAGAATTCTTTAAAAACATTAAAAATCTTACTGTTCACAAACTTTTGACTGGTAGTTTATATACATATATATGTGTGTGTACACACACACACACACACACACATATATATATATATATATATATAAACATAAATTAATATAACAATATGATGCCATGTTACTTTCAAGGTATAAGATTTTCATGCCCATGTATTACAAAAAAATCTTGTATTAGTTAAAAAGAGCATTGTGTTCTGCAATTCAGTATTGCATAATTATTGAAAACTAAACTTACCTTGGAGTACACCAATAGACAGATACATCCAAGGCAGGCTGAGGTCCAAAGAGGCGATAATCATTCCCGAGGTAGCCAGAAGCCCTCCGATTATGATAACAGCGCGCTGGGACAGGCGCATACTGAGAGCACTGGCCAGAGGAGCTAAACAGATGAGAAAAACACGTCTCACTATGCAGGGCTGGTGTCAGTTTCTGACAATTTGTTATACCTGTTCTGAGAGTATTTATACAATTTCTGTTGATAACAATAAGGAAAAGTACATAAAAAGCATTCCTCACCTCCTAAATGAAACACAGCAATAGTGCTTGAGGTCACCCATGAGGTAGTACTGTTAAGGACATCATAGTGACTTTGGATTTCAAGGAAAAACAGACCAAAGTTTTTAAAAACAGCAGCGGTGAGGCCCATGATGAAGAAGGCCGAGGTGACCACGACCCAGCCATAGCCGCCATCCGGTGGGTCGCTCAAGCACCTCTCCATGCTGAGTCCACCAGTCGGCTCTCACCTTCTGTAAAATATCATCGCAGATTTTCTTTTACCAGTGTTATTTTAGTATCATTTATGCACTGCTATAGTGTTTATTCATATTTTGAATTAGCTTTTATTTATATATTTTCTGTTTCATTTTACAGTTTTAATAATCTTATGTGCTTGTGTAGCTTTCTTTTTTTTATATTAACACTTCGGTTTAGCTTTAATATACTTATATTTTACATCTTGTTTTTGGAATTTAACCACTGATCTATATATCTCTATTACAGATCAGTGACTTCATTTCAAATTCACTTAAATTTGATTTATTTTGGTTAGTTGCCAAGGCAATATTTAAAATTTAAAAGTGAAAGTTTTTTTTATTTCTTTCATTTCAGCTTCATTTCGATTACCAAAATGATTTTTAATAGGTTTAGTTAACAATAACAACACTGACCTATACACCACCATTCAAATTTGGGGCTGGTGAGATTTTTTTAATACATTTTGATGGCTGCTTAATATTTTTTTTGTAGAAACTTTGATACATTTTTGTTTTTCAGAATTATTGGATGAATAGAAAGTTCAAAAGAAAAGCATTTAAATATTTCATAACATTACACATTTCTTTACCATCACTTTCAAACAATTTAATGCATCCTTACTGAAAAAATTTACTAATTTCTTTCTTTAAAAAAAAAAAAAAAATTATACTGATCCCAAAACTTTTGAATGGTTATGTATATACACAATATTGTATCTAAAATGTTTCAACAAAATAATACTGAAATTATTTTTTTTAGAATGTCATAATTTAGATTCTTTTTTTGTACCTTTGGTAGTTGAAATCAACATGAAAAACCATTTGCAATGCATCTGCGTCAGCACCTTTTCAGCCCGTTTCACATCTTACTATGCAAATTAGCATTGTGACCAAAAAACAAAAAAACAAACAAAAGTCCAACATTTGAAGAGTGCATAAAACGGTTTAAAATAACCAAAACAATTCTAGCTGCTAAACACTTATTCAAAACCTATCAGCTCTTCGAAACAGCACTAAGAAGCACAAGCAGTAACCAAGAAGAAAGATCTAACTGGAACAACTGCTGACAATGGAACTATGTAGCAAGTGCCAGAAATCATAAGATCTTGTGCGTCAACAGCATGACCCACAATGCCTGCTCCATTGCCCAGCCCTGCCTGATGTGATCATGGACTAAGCCAGTCCTTCACTGCCATTGACTTTACGCCACTAGCAGCAGACAAACATACTCATGTTTCAACATCGTTCATGACAGCTTTGTCCTTGACTTGTTCTCTAACCCATAATACAGCTTGACGTATTAAAGAAACTATCAAGCTGTCAGCAGCCTCCAAACACATACAGAACCATGTGGTTTCCAAATAAAAGGTTACTTAATATCATTCAATTGAATCCATTCATGAGGTAGGAATGTGAGCATCTTCACCTTTCAAAACAACTTGCTTCCCTGCTGACAGAATCGGAGTCTCATCTTTTAATCCACTCAGTTCTATTACTGTATGGATCTGTGTTAATGCAGACTCTGACAGTATCTATAGGTTTGGGTGTAAAGAGTAAATACAGGCACTCCTGAGGTTTAAAGGCAAAAGATCCATGTTTCATCATGTGTCTGCTCTGCACTATTGTTGCATACATCCAACCTGTCAGGAACCTGTCTGCATCAGCATCTAGTTGTTGCATGCTGAATCACTGTCTTCTATCGAGTTGTGTTTAGCAATTCCATTGTTTATAAAGAACAATTACGTAACATTGGCAGAAAAATGACATTTATATTAATTAAACCAGGCAGGCAACAAACTGTTTAATTAGCCTATGTTTAATAAAGTGCAGTAATTTTCAGTTTAGAGAATAACTGCCAATATTCATTGTTAAATCACTTAATGACAATTTATTTTGTATTTACAAGTGCACTGGAATTACACAGCACTGTCGAAAATCACAGGAAATAAAATCGAATCATAAGTTCCATTAAATATTACAGGACGCAAAGTTAACTTCATTAAAAATTACAATAATTTGATATTTTTTGCTATAACTGTTGCTTAAACAAGTGGATACAATAAAACCACACTGACATATAGTCATTGTGTTATTTTAGTTTTAGGTCCATATAGTTTATATACATTTTTATTTCAGTTTTAGTTTTAATTATTTTAGTAGCCTACATCAATGATGTTTCCTTGGCATTTTTATGTTTTTTTTTTAGCTATAATAACCCTGACTAAGACTCTCTCTTAGCTCTATAATGAAGGTAGATTTGATTTGAAAGACTGAATGTTGTTCTCAGGACAGGAGTAACGTATTCTTCAGGAATATCAAGGAAGTGTATACTGGTGTGCTATTATATACATAAATGGACATTTAAAAATAAACCCAAATATTCACTGGACTAAAACGTGTGGCAACAAACCCGGTTCCCTATACATTCTGCATATTATTTACTGCATTGTTTATCATATGCCACAGTGTTTGTGAACTCTTATTGATCGTTTTCCGGCTGCTTTTCTGCTAGAGAATTCTCTATCAAGGATTAATGATGTACGTGCTTTCGGTAAATAAAATCCTGCTCTACATCTATGTTAGGGAAATTACTTACGCCAGAGGTGCGACCAGCCTGTTCTCTTGTCCTGTCCTCGGTCAGGTCCTCCTAATGTTGTTCATCGCAGGATGCAGCGCAACATTTAAAGCAGTGTGACGAGTAGTGTTGGGACGTTCTTGAACGATTCGTTCGTTTTGAACGAATCTTTAATGTGACTCGGGAAGAACGAGTCGTCTCGGGGAGTGATTCGTTCAGTCGCGCATCCGCAACATCCTATAGGTTCTGTACTGGAATTAGTCAAGTAGTTCACCTGGTTTGATCAACGTTTGCATAAGTTGTAGACATATTAGGGAAGTAACACGTAACATTTTAATTATATTTTGTTAAAATGAACGAAATGAACGAAATGACTCGAAAAAAGATTCGTTCATTTTGCTGAACGAGACTCAAAGGTCCGAGTCGGTAAAATGATCCGAACTTCCCATCACTAGTGACGAGTCCGCTGATAAAAGCTCTATTTATAAACTCGCAAGACTCTGGCCACACCCCTTCCGACCTCTTGCCCAACGCGCTTCCATATGGCAAGCCGGATGTACATTTATTCCTTTAAAGCAAAGCTTCTAAGAAGTCGCGTGTATGGTAGTCTCAGGACTCGCTCACTGCAACCCTGACACCAGTATTTTAACGATTCATAAAATATTAATCACAGACAGGCCCTGCTATAGAGATGAAGTTTGCTATTGGAGTCATGATTTATGGTAGCATTAAAGCACTCCGTGAGTGTATTAGCACATATGTTGTTTGCTTTTGGAATCTGATAGTGTATCTGAAAGTGCTTGGACCCAGAAATGGTGGACTTAACAAGAAGATTAATTAGCAACAAATCAGTTAATTCCCTATGGACAAGCCCAAAGATGGATAAAAAGGTGCACAGGAAACAAAAACCTTGAAAAAATTATATACGACCAGACACGTGCACACATAGACATAAAAGGGGGCTTGAGCACCTGCCCTTTTTCTTCCTCGAGAGTCTTTTTTTTTTTCTTTTTTGATAAATGAATATATGTATA